AAGGTGCAGTGTGGAAGCCTCTTGAATCTTCCTTGCCTTTCTTGTAATAATTGCTCCTTTGATATATGTAATTGGTCACAAATGGATTCGTATCATATCTTAATAATAGCATTTACATGACTCAACCAGAAGGATTCATAGAACATGGTCAAAAAGTTTGCAAGCTTAAGAGATTCATTTATGGTTGAAACAAGCTTTGAGATCCTGGAAAATAAGGTCTGACATTGCGGTCAAATCTTATGGCTTTGACAAAACGTTGATGAACCTTGTGTTTACAAGAAGGTTGTCAATAGTACTGTAGCTTTCCTAGTTTATACGTTGATGACATCCTACTCATTGGGAATGATGTAGGTCTTCTCACAGAAGTTAAAAAACTGGTTGGCAACACAATTCCAAATGAAAAACTTGAGAGGAACAATATTATTGATTCGTTTATAAAGGCTCTCACAGCTAAAGTATTTGAGGGTCATCTATAGAGTCTAGGTTTACGAGACATGTGTTATTTAATATAGGACATGTGGGAGATGTTATTGGGTATATTGTATGCCCTAGTTCATTGTAATACTTGTACATCCCACTCGCTTTCAGACAAGTGGGAGATTGTTGGATTTGGTGCCGTTAGCTCCTATATTTGTAATTTATGAACAAATTGTTTATTCAATAAAGAGTTATCTTATTATTTCGTTGCATTACTCGTATTCCAATAAACTAAGATCCAAGGTTATTTAATGTAACTGGATAGTATATATTTGATATACAATGTATATATTTGATATACAATATATATTTAATATACAATGTATATATTTGATATACAATATATATTTGATATACAAATGACTAATGTTCCGGATGAGGTTGGGTACCTTATCTTGGTAACACTGTGGATACAAACGACTTTATCTAGGTCGTTCATGTAGAGACATGTGAATGGGGGTATCCTATACAATGAGTTTGTATAAGACTCGACCGTGAAATAATTAATCATTGGCTCTAACAATATTAGTCAATATATTCTTATCTTATAGGATGACCAGGTAATTCGATTTTAATCTTGAGCGAGTTATGGATTCCTGCCTATAAAGGATCGTCCTCTAATTTGTATGGGTGAGAGTGACCTGGGTTGCCGACTCAATAATCCTACCATTTTAGTGACGGGACCGAGTGGGGAGCTAGGAACATAACTATGTAAGATAGAATTCACTTCTTCCCGACTTTAGGGAAGTAGATGAGCGTTTCCTTACATGTTGATTCTGGGACTTAAACAATATGCCTCATCCTCTCACTGGCCGGAGACGGACTTCCGGTTATTGGTCGGACCATAACTGGGTTGTTCATTAGAGGAGCAGTGATATTTAAGGAGCAAAATGTAATTAAGGGTAAAACGAAAATTTGACTAATCTAGAGTTAGGAGCACTCGTGAATGATTGACTTGTCGTTAATGGTCATACATCTATGGACACAAAAATATTATGCACTGAGAAGAGTGCAGATGCGGGTCTTTAGTGTAGTGATCCGCAGTTAATGAATGTTGATTAACTCGATTAATAAGTTTGACTGATTACTCTCGAATCATTGGAGCTTCTGATCTGCAGGTCCATTAGATCCCCTTACTAGCTCACAACGGGTAAAACGAGAATCAAGATTGTGACAGAATTTGAAATGTTCAAATTATATATCAGGGAATGTATATAATGTATATGATGTTACATTATATATATAGTTTATTTTTGAATAAATATTCCATAGTTAAACTAGATGTTATACGAGAAATATTTGAATAGGATTCAAATAATTAATATTTGAATAGGCCACTCGTCTTGATGTGCTTATTGAAGAGGAAGAAATCTATTGGAAGCAAATATCTAGAGAAGAGTGGTTGAAATGGGGAGATCAAAATATGAATTGGTTCCACAAGAAGGCCTCGTAGAGAAGATCTCAGAATGAGATTCTTGGTATTGTTAAAAGGGATGTAAGGTGGATTAAAGTGGGTAATGAGGTGGTGAAGGAATTTGAAGATTACTTTACAAAGCTGTTCGAATGCTCACAGCCTTCTGATGAAGATATTGTCTGTATTCTAAAGCATTTTAGACCGAGTGTGACGTGGGAAATGAATCGTCGTTTGCTAGAGCCGTTTGGTAAGGAGGAGGTAGAGTATGCCATCAGAGAGATGTTCCGAACGAAGGCCCTAGGGCCTGATGGTTTCCCAGCTTTATTTTATCATAAACATTGCGGAATTGTAGGACCTCGGACGCTAGAATGTTGTTTGAGAATTCTTAGTGGATTTGAAAGTGTGGCTAAGTGGAATAACAAGAATATAGTGTTAATTCCTAAGATGGATCACCCAAAGCAGGTAACGGAGTTCAGTCCTATTAGCCTGTGTTATGTAGCATACAAGATCGTGTCTAGTCTTAAAAAAGTGCTCCATATGGTAATTTCAGATATCAATAAGCTTTTATCCCTAGAAGGTCAATTTATGTAACGCCCCAAGATGTTATATACCATACTAGGTAATGCTAAATAATCCACCTGTCTAGCCTTAACTCTAAACACGAGATAACCAACTCCCTGGAAATAATTTAAATAAAATAAAGCTTCGACTCCCATAATTCCACCAAAAAAATATCAATTTTATAAACTGTCGAAACTTCGCCCTCCGTGGGCAATAAAAAAAAACATCTCATACCAGCCTAAGTGGCTAAATTCTTAAATAAATAAAACAATCGTACACCTAAACTCCAACGACACCAGTGACGCGTTTAACAATAACATCCATACAAAAAAAATAAAAGTAGTTCTAAAGAAAACAAAATCGCTCCTCGGGTCCACACCTAGCCATAAAATAAATGCCAACGCTACTCACACCAAACGACCCTTCCCTCTATCCTCACTAACTCGACTAGTGATCCCTCCTCGGTCAAGCCCTCTCCACGTCATCACCGCGGTCGACCCTGTTCACACCTGAAAACAAATAAGGATAAAGAGGGGGGTGAGTACATAAGGTACTCCGTAAGTAGCCCTTCCTAACTAACACAAAAATCATGCTCACAGTCACGGCATATAAAATAAAACGATAGCAAGACAATTAAATAGACAGCGAGAGATAAAAAAAACAATAACTTGACATTTACATACAACAACTATGCGTCGGAACTACCAAGACTACAACCAATGATTCACTAGCCCTTGTCCCACAGTACTAAACCTCCCTCTACACCCCCCTGTGATACTCCCCGT